ATGAAATTTTCAGGGGTGATTGGGGTCTGTGTGGAGGGTGCACATAAGAAATTTAATGTGTGTATCATTGCACGTTTTGCAATTAATTCTGTTTGGCTTTACGTGTTTTTTTGGATTTTTATTATTGTTTTGCCGCAAGATTGGCAGTCCTGCCTTTTACTAATAAATAAACAGAAACAGCTGGCGAATGTTTACAATTATTAAAAAACATTGACAACAATTTAATTTATAATCTTATAACTGGAGTCTACTATCGCACCCTTTCCTCAAACGTGTATTAATTCAATATTCAAATAACGTATATTTATATAATTTGAAAAAATCTCCCTACTATACAAATATGTACAGCAATATTAACTAACTAGCGAATACCCGGCGTGCTTCGCTGCGCCTTAAAAGTAATTTTGTTTTGTTACTCCCTCTCACAACATTTGAAAATATTAGTTAATATTGCTGTACATATTTGTATAGTAGGGAGATTTTTTCAAATTATATAAATATACGTTATTTGAATATTGAATCAATACACGTTTGAGGAAAGGGTGCGATAGTAGACTACAGTTATAAGATTATAAATTAAATTTCCAAGAGAAAGTCGGTTCTTTACATATTTTCTAATTACCTTCGAAAATATATTAACTCAAAAAAAATAAAATAAACAATGCTTCATAGATCGATTTTTTTTAAATCTAACTTCATAAAGTTCTTTAAAAATATTTTGTAAATGAGGCCATAAGAGCTTAGGGGGAGAGTTACAACACAAAAATACATTTAAGGCGCAGCGAAGCACGCCGGGTAATTGCTAGTACGAAATAAAATTATTAGTGGCAAATCAAAAATTTCAAAAGTTATTGGGAAAAGTAAAGTGTGAAAAAAGTTAAAGTTAAGTAACTATGTGTCTTTATTTAATATGTTTCTTATAAATAAAGTTCTAAACACCAATTCGAATTTCTTATTATGTATTTACTGGTATGTTTCATTAAATTCTATATTATAGACATCACTACAATAGTTAAGAAGTTTTGCCTATTTAATTACAGAAACTAAAGAATTATGGCTCAGGAAAGTTTTTGCTTGCAATCTTCTGTACGAAAAACTACGTTCATCTGAATTATATACATTAGACTGCATCACCAAAAAAAGTTGCGATTTTTCCGCCAGGATTACAAAATTTATAATATTTAAAGACGTCCGCCAAAATATTTCGGAAAAAAATTAAGAATTAAGTGAGCTGGACCGATTTGAAAATACCTCCAAAAATGGAATTTTTTATGAATAAAAATAGTTTCTTAAAGAACTTTTTGAAAAAAGTCCCCTCAGATGACAAAACAGATTAAGCTTAAAAAATCTGCATAAAAATATTTGTTTTTGTTATTTTATGGCCTTATAACAATTATATTCAACAATTTTTATTGAGCTCGAGGCCGTTTTTTAATGAAAACTTGTTGTGGAAAAGCAACAATAATTTGAAAAAATGGTAGAAGTGATAGCTATTTCGGAAATCACCACATTTCCTCATCAGTCTTCTTTTAGTAGGATTCGAACCGACGATCCCACTGACTCAGCCAGTTGCCTATGCACTGTGCTTAGTTCGCCTTATTAATTCTTGTTGCTTATATCCACTATTTCACTTTGCTAACCCAACTACAATCAAGCGCAGCTATTCCGCTGCAATTCACTTGATCATGTGGTTGTTGGTTTTTGTTAATATTTCTATTATTAGAATGTTTAACTTTTAGGTGTGCTCGTCCTTAGGTTATTTGTTTTGATATTTTTATGACCTTATAACAATTATATTCAACAATTTTTATGAGCTTGAGGCCGTTTTCAGTGAAAACTTATTGTGGAAAAGCAACAATAATTTGAAAAAAATGGTAGAAGTGATAGCTATTTCGAAAATCACCACATTTCCTCATCAGACTTCTTTCAGTAGGATTCGAACCGACGATCCCACCGACTCAGCCAGTTGCCTACGCACTGTGCTAAGTTCGCCTTGTGGATTCTTGTTGCTTTTGTTCCACTTTTTCATTTGTTAATGTATAATAATATTTTAAAATTTTGTATGTTATTCTTTGCAGATTACAAAAGAGGAGTTGGCAAAATTAATTGCAGGATTTGACCAACAAGATCTGCTAACAAGCAATGGTGTCACATTAGCGGGCCAAAGATATATCTACCTTTCTGGTACAGATCGCGTCGTACGCGCAAAACTAGGCCGCAGCGGAGTGCATTGCATGAAAACTACACAAGGTATGAATGTAATGATGATATTTTTAAGCCAATATAAACTGTTATACACCTAAAGGGAAAATGTATATGTAAGGACGTCGGAGAGTTGTTAGCCACAAGTGGTTGTAGGACTTGGTCATAGAGCTGAAACGAAACGTGCAACAACAATTCGCTTTTGAAACTCTTAACTTATGTACATATGTATTTAAAAATGGAATTATACTCATACTTTATTGTTATATTATTGTGCAAAAAAAGATCTCATCTTAATGCACAAATGGGTACACTTTAATAAATTGAAATTGAAATTGTACATTCGCTTTCATATAAGACTCGTGAGTTGATGTGGATTTTTGGGTAAAAAGCACTGTTGAGCTACTAAGCCTTTTTAGCAGCTATTAAAATAAAACAA